GGGGGGGGGGGTTCACTCTGTCCGAAATTGAAATCAAATTTAAATTGCTGGCCTTTAATTTAAACTTGGGAGGTCAGGGCCCTGTGTATACCCTGAGCCTGGGAAACCAAAGGGGCTCCATAGGGCCCAGTGGTCAATTGATAGGCTTACTCAGTTACAGGTTGAAGTGCAACCATAGGAGCTGTTTTTTTTTTCTTTTTTTCAACCACATTTTTTTATCTTTTGGTTATTTTCCGTGATGTCGAATGAAAATGAAAGCAATTGTGATCTTCATTTGCTGGAATTCAATACGTCTCTGAACAAAGAGCAGAAAATCCTGTCCTGCAGGACAAATCCGGCCCACAGACTTGTATTGTGAAACATGACCTGCGTAAGGGCTTGTTCGATATCTAATACCACGTCTATTACATGTGTGGACTTCAAAATGAAAGAATTGACTCTGATTCGCATCAGAACCGCATCTGCAATGGGCTGAACATCCACCTGCCACGAAGAAGAGACGAAATCAAAGCCGCCATGAGTCAAACTGCGGGATGTCGTAGCTGAGCTGGGACAGACTCTTAAAGGTACAGTACAAGCAGTTCTTAAAGTGTGTAACCCGTTGTTCTGTAGCATTTGTAAAGACTGTTATAGCTGTATGTATAGTAACAGCACCTTCATGATCCACGTTGCCAGGTGAAGGCAGTCGCAGTCATTTGATGGCTTTCAAGTCAACAAAAATTGTTAGCTAGTGGCAAGAAATTAGTAGCAACATAAGCAAAGCGTACAAGATATGGGAGCCAAAGCTTTGAGGGTCTTTTAAGGTCTTGCAGCCTATATGGTATTGTTTTCAATGACAAACATAGGAGAAGGCCAAAAAAAAAATCAGCTACGCTGGCAGAGATGTAGTCCTATTCATTTTAAGTCAGTCATATGACCCTGAGATGTCACATGATGCCAAAATGAATTCCTCCCTGATCGGGAGCCAACCTGCAGCCACTAGCATTTGGAGAGATGGTAATTTTTCCTATAGCCGTCTACTGATGAAGTATAGATGGGTAGAGATAGGGCTGTGCCCCCGGGGAAGTAGGTGAGAAGACCACCCATTATGTACTGAATAGCAGAGGAGCCAGTGAAAAATGCAGAGGGTTTACAAGGGTCTGGTTGCGTTTTTTTAATGCTCAGATGTGGCTGGCTTTAGCAATGGGGTGTTGAGGTGGCCTCCTGCTTGATTGAGTTTTGGGTTGGGTTTTGGAAAGTTGGGTTCTGTGACTTTTTCATTGGCGACCGGGGAGCCTCTGTCAATTATAAGAGGCAACAGCAAGGGAAACCACTGTAAGGGGAATGCCCTTGGCTGGGTTTCCCCATTTGATTTGGCTAAGCTCCTCCCCTTTCTAAGCTTTCTTCAGATATGCTTAAAACCTGTAAAAATTCCCCACTATCACATGGCAAAGATTCATTCATTTACTCCTCATAAAAGCTTCAGTTTGTGAAAGAACACATCTAGTAGACATGTAAGCCGCCAGAAAATTTGTTTAGTTGTCATTTCGGATTCATTTGGGTTTTTTGTTTTTATCAATAAAATTTTTTATTATCGCACCCGAAATTCGGATCAGTCCGATATCCATTTTTTGGATTTCGGATGGATCCGAAGTTTCCTTTTTGGATCTTTTCGGATTGAGTTAATCACATTCACAATTAATTTTAACAAAACAGCGTGCCCCGCCCCCCAAAAAAATCCCTTAGCGAGTAAAAGTCCAAGGAGCGAGGAAAGTGGGGGGATGATCGTGTGCCCTCCCCTCTGCAGCATACCAGGCCACATGCCCTCCACATGGGGAGGGTGGTTCACCAGAGCAGGACCCCCTGGCAAAGCACTTGGTCCGCATGCTGATGAGGACAAGGGCCTCTTCCCCACAACCCTGGCCCGGTGGTCTGCGGGCAGGGAGGCTTATCTGAAACTGGGTGCCCCCTTTCATAAAGGGGGCATCCAGATGTCACCCCCCCTTCATGAATGAGTAAGGGGTAGTTTCACCCCCACTCATTTACCAAACACACAGAAAAATATTAAATAAACACACCACACCTGTTTGTACCCTTACTCATTCACGGGGGGTGTGGCATCTGGGTGTGGCGTCCTCCTGACAGGCCTGCACCCAATTTGATATCTTCTGCCCCATGTGCTCCAAGATGGAGACTCTCATAGTTTAGAGTTAGGACCGCACTATAAGAGGTGCCTTGGCGCGGCAGTGCGGCTTACACATCCTTTGCAGAAGACGTGTATCCAAACCTCTGTCATTGTCCTTAGTGGTGAGACAAGTTGTTTTACATGCTAGTTTGTGAGTGTGCCATGATGCCTTTCTACTGTTCTACTGTGGCATCTGGGAGCCCCTTCTATGAAAGGGGGCACCCAGATTCAGATAAGCCCCCCTGCCGACAGACCATCACAACCACTAGGCCAGGGTTGTGGGGAAGAGGCCCTTGTCCTCATCAACATGGGGGCAGGATGCTTTTCCAGGGGGTCCACCAGGCAAAGGCAAATACATGTTGATTCTGCCATAAATTGTGAGAGCGAACAACTTGCTGTGCTCTTTTCCAGTTGTCTCTGTAGACTACAGACCCCTCCCTTTCCTCGGGGTGTTATGGAGTAGAGGAGAGGGGAGTCTACAGTCCCATGGGGGCCAGATAATACAACCAGTTACCAGAATAAGCAGTGTGACTAAATGCACCAGTTTAAGGATTAAAAAGTTACAACATGTCAGGTTTATTGTATAGTTCTATCTGTGACATTGGGGACATTTTACATCAGTTCCTATCCTTGTGATGTGGTACAAGAAATGGGGGAAGCGAATGTCACCGGGACATCAAAAAAACAAAACATTGTCCCATGTACTAACCCCTCCTCACTCTACCAAAATGTGTTTTTTTTTCTGTGGGTCCAAAGGAGAGATTTCCCATCATTTCGTATCCATACGGGAAGTGAGGGGAAATCTCCCCAATAGGGAGGTACACAGTGGCTCCCCACCCTATCGAAAACTAAATAAAAACCTGAAAATGAGTCTCACCAATTGCAAAGGAGATTAAAATATGTATGATATATATTTATTTATTACAGATTGGGAGTTACTTCATGGGATGCAGATATCCAATCAGTCGGAGCCATCTTCAAAGTTTTCACGGACAATTGAATACATCAGTAACATCCCTTTCGCTGAATTATCATGCCCTTCCATTGCAAATTCTGACCCGGCCATTTCTCTCATAGGCACACCAATGGAGTCCTCACCATCACCTCTGTCATCAAAGTCAGATGAGCCACTTCCACAGATGGAGTCGCTGGGCCAGGCAGAGACACTGATAGGGGCAAAGTGCAGTCGGTTAGATTTTCCTTCATCATCTTCCTTGCCCCAGCAATCTTCACCAGAACATCAAGACTCCTTGTCTTACAAGCCATCATCAGACACAAAAAGGTGTTCAGGACCACAACGTGAAGAAAGAAAGCCACCAATAGAGTCAGTGTCACCACTGTCTGAACAGACACTACCGACATCACCTTCACCACCTTCACCACCTTCACCACTTTCAACAGCCCCACCACCAGAAAGGCAGACAAAACTATTCTTGGTAGGACAGTTGCCTATGAAAAAGCCCCAGTCACCACCGTTAATGTTGGTAAGAGAACACCATCGTGTGTCATCACTATCAACAAAGACCCACCCTAAAGTAATATTGGGGCAAGAAGAGACAATGGCACTGCCAAACCAATCACTGGAATTATCACACACAAGCAAGTCATTTGACTCATTACCACAAACACAATCAGAGGCCCTGCAATCCCTAATGGAAACAATGCTGACTCACCCACAGCCCATAATGTCAAGTGCCCATAATCAAGCAGAAGAGCCATCATTATTGCCACCAAACGACTTAACAGGTTAGTTGAAGATAGTAAAATATTGCCAGTGGACACCCTTGACCCCACTTCCAGTACAAACACTAACAGGGTTATTCACAAAAGGGTGAAGAGTTTGGAGAAGGCAGGAGAAGTGAACAATCTAGGACAACATAGCTGAACTGGAAAGTGAGCTGAATTGGAGAAACCACTGGGGAGGCAGGTGGAGCAGAGCCTCACCTAGTATTATGAAGAACGAAGGTGTCAGCTTCAAGTCTGAAGCCGACATCTTTTTCTCCGTTCAGATCAGCTCCTCCCCACTGTGTAACCTGTCATGGATGGAGCCCTGCCGTTAGCTTTTGACAGGTAGTTAGGTTACACAGCAGCGGGCTTCCCCACTGCTTGTGTAACCTAACTTGGTGAGGCAAGAGCTGTCACAGCCTCTACTCTGTGGTAGAGGCGTGAGCTCTGTGGATGGCTTGGACCAATGGCAAAGCGCCATTGGTCCAAGCTGTCCAATAAAAAAAAGTAAAAAAAAACACAGTGAGGACATCGATCTCCATGCCTCACCAGTGACGAGCAAGTGAGGGACAGGGAGGCTCCTCCCTTCCTCCTCCCCACACAGATTGGTTACCGAGCTGGGGGCGGGGCTTCGGCGGGACGGTACAGAGCTTCGGCGGGATGGGGGTGGAGCTTCGGCGTGCTCGGGGATGCCTCACCCAGCACAGAAGGCACGTCACTGCTGTATGTTGTATGTTGTTGACTAATTAGTGGCCCATTGAGGCAGTGGGGAAGCTAGACACTCTGTTACCCTGGGCAAAGGCTAAGAGTGGCTCCACCCCACCAAGGAAAAAGTTCTCCATCCAAACACCCAGTGGCGCCCCTCCTAAACCGACACCAGGGGCACATGCCC